TGACAGGTACCTTCTCTGACAGGTGCCGTTCTCTGACCCACATTCGCCTTAGCTTTTGGGTTAAGACATAGCTCAGTTCTACACTCCTCTCTAGCTCTAAACGTCGCATGTCCCTTCCTCCCCGCTCACCCCACCGAGTCCCAACTGAAGAGCCTGAATTTCTCTTCTCAGTATCTGTCCCACGATCGCCTTCGCTGCTGGGTTAAACCCTGGCTCTATTTCTACGACTAAGAACACTCCTCTCCAGCACTATTCTTCGTCTGTCCCGTCTTCCCCGCTCATCCCTTTTGGGATCTTACCTGAACTTTCGTTCGTTCGTTCGTTCGTTCGTTCGTTCGTTCTGGTTAGTGTGACATTGTAAATGGTCCAAGTCGGACCGAAACGTGGTCGTAAGCTCCTCTCTTCTATGTGCGGGTTATTTGTGTATCTGCCATAAGACTAGCAGGTCACTTCCCTCACCACTGGTCCATTGAATCGATAATTTTAAGGCCGACATACCTGGAGAGGGTTTCGGGGGTCAACGCCCCAGTGGCCCAGTGTGAGACCAGGCCTCGTGGTCGATCAGAGTCTGATCAACCAGGGTGTTACTATTGGCTGCACGAAAACCGACAAACCATAGCACGGCTGGTCAGGTACTGACTTTAGGTGCCTGTCCAGCGCCTTCTTGAAGACAGACGGATCTATTGGTAATCCCCCTTATGTATGCTGTGAGGCAGTTGAACAGTCTTGGGTCCCTGACACTTATTGTGATGTCTCTCAGTGTACTCGTAGCGCCCCTGCTTTTCATTGGGGGAATGTTGCATCTCCTGCCAAGTCTTTTGTTTTCGTAGGGAGTGATTTTCATGTGTCTTTCTCGCCTGCGTTCCAGGAAATACTAATCAAGGGACTTCTACCGTTCCTAGTAATTTAGGTGCTTCATCGCACTTATATGTGCCGTGAAAGGTCTCTGTAGAGTGACTTGAAGAGAGCAGTTAGTGTACAGCAGTATTCCAGCCTAGAGAGACAAGGAATTTGAAGAGAATCATCATGGGCTTGGCGTCCCTAGTTTTCAAGGTTCTCATTTTCCATGCTCTCATTTTTCTAGCAGATGAGGTAGATACATTCTTGTGGTCTCTGAAGGTGAGATCCTCTGACATTTTCTCTCCCAGGTCCTTTTTATTAATTTTTCGCTCTGTTGTGTGATTAGATTTTTTTCATACCCTGATAAAGTTTGAATTTCCTCAAGTTTTCCATATCTGATTAGTTGAAATTTCTCTTCATTGAACTTCATGTTGTTTTCTGCATCACATTTAAAGATTTAGTTGATGTGTCCCTGGAGTCTTGCAGTGTCGTCGATGGCGGCCACTGTCGTGGCAATTCTTTTGTTATGCATTTTGTGCACTGTTACACCATGGTCGCACTTGTTGGGGGCTTTTGCAAAGTCTGTGTACACTACATCTGCATTTTGTTTATCCTCCAAAGCATCCAGTACTTTGTCATAGTGGTCCAGTAGCTGGGACAGACAGGGGCGACCTGCTCTAAACCCGTGTTGCCCTGGGTTGTGTGACTGATGGGTCTCTAGGTAGTTGGCGATCTTGCTTCTTAGAACCCTTTCAAAAAAATTTATATGGGATGTTAATGCTATCGGTCTGTAGTTCTTTGCAATTGCTTTACTGTCACTCTTGTGGAATGACTCCTTTGCCCATGCTCCCTCTCTATAGAATGCTCAAGGCATGTGACAAGGGCTTCACGCACTTCTTGATGAACACAGAGTTCCACGAGTCTGGGCCTGGGGCAGAGTGCATGGGCATGTCAATAATTGCCTTTTCAAATTATTATGGTGTGAGAATAATATCATAGATTTTTGAAGTGATCAAATTTTGAGTCTTGGTCATAAAAAATTCATTTACATTGTCGACCATGAGACTGGTTAACGACTCACTGAGCACTGAGTCATATTGGGAGTTTAGTATCTCACTCATTTCTTTACTGTCATCTGTGTAGGTCCCATCTCGTCTACTGGATGCTGTTTTCTCCTTAGATTTGGCATAAGAGAAGACGTATTTTGGGTTTCTTTCAATTTCATTGATGGCTTTAAGTTCATCCTGTGATTCTTGTATCCAGTAAGATTCCTTAAGCTAAAGTTCATTATTTGCTATTTCTCTGACCAGTGCCTCCCTTTGTATTTAAGATATATTGGCCCCTCTCAGCAACCCTGTGATTCTTCGCCATCGCCTGCATAGGGAGCCTCTCTCTCTTTCTAGTTTACATCTTCTCTTTCTTTTTCTTAATGGAATGTGCCTTGAGCAGACCTCAAGTGCCACAGAGTTCATTTTTTCTAGACAAAAGTTCGGATCCATGATGATTAGGATATCTTCCAAGCTTGTTTTATTTAGGACATGGTTGACTTGTTCCCATGATAAGTTTTTGTCATTGAAGTTGAATTTTGTGAAGGCACCCTTATAACTGATCATATTTTGCTGGTCTGGAACCCTGTCCATACATGTCTGTACCTCTATTAAGCTGTGATCTGAGCGTTATATTACGTATCAGATCGTCGTCCAGTGTATTTTCCAGTCTTGCAGGCTCTATTATTTGCTGGTTTAATTAAGATGAATTTGGTGCAGAGATTTAATAGCTCGTGTGTGTGTGAATTTTCATCTGAGCTGCCTCTTGGGGTGATCTCTGCTAAAACATTATTTGCTACACTCCTCTATTTTAAGTGTCTCAAGTTGAAATTCCCCAGTAGCAAGATGCTTGGGGAATGAGTTTGGAAATTTTCCAGACAGTTGTCAATTTTTAAAAGCTGTTCTGGAATTGCTGGGAAGTTGCATCCAGAGGCTCCTATACAACCACAATGACAAGTTTTGGTTTTCGACCTTTACTGCCAAAACTTCAACTACGTCATATGAGGTGTTTAGTAATTCTGAGCAAATGAGTGACTCTGTGACGTACAGGCCAATCCCATCCCCCTTTCTGCCTATTTAGTCTGTCACATCTGAATAGGTTATGACCTGAGATCCATATTTCGTTGTCAAAATTATCTTTTTATATGGGTCTCTGTGAAAACTGAAAACATTGCATTTGACTCCGTGGGCAGTCCCATGATATAAGGTATTTTGTTGTTTGTTGGTGGCTTCAGACCCTGTATGTTTGCAAAGATGTCGTCATATTGATGGAATTTAAGGGGGTGTTAGTTTGCTGAGCATTAATATCTAGTGTTCTGGAGTGGAGGCCAATGACTACCCTTCCACTCCAGAATTTTGGTGTAGGATTTCTGTCACTTCTTGCCAGTCTTGCTTCCTTTCTGACACTAAAAAATTTCCTTCTTTGGAGAGGTTTTGGCTTCTCTCTTTTGTTTCCCACAGTCTGGGTGATCTTCTTGTCCCCTTTCGATGATGTGCCTGACAGTATATGTTGTAGCATTGTCTTTCATGGGCTGACAAGTGACACATTTTGGGGTGAAATAAACTACAAGAAGAGTTGCTCCATCCTGTTGTCATGTGGTTTCGGCATTTTTTGTGATAGTCAAAAGTGCATGTCCCACTTATTTTTCCAGATAAACAATCCCTTCAGATTCCCAAGGCATAGAATTGCATAGATTGAATTTTTGTTTGCCACGATATTTTGTGGCTGCATTTCCTACTGGTGGTCCATTTTTTCTGTTTCCCCGATGCCTGCAGCCCCTGCATGGACATCAGTGGTTCCATCACTTTTTACTAATAATGTGTTAACACTATTTCCCAAAGCATCTTCCCCTTTTATTCCATCTCCAGTAGTATTGCTATTTTGTATCACTGGAAATTGTATAACATTGTCTTTACTTGTTTCATCACCAGGGCCACTGTCTCCATTTGCACTATCCTCTAGGACAACACCATCCCCTTCTGGTGCATTATACTCCAGGACAATACCAACTTCATCTGGTGCACTCTCCTTCAGGACAATGCCAGCACCCTCTGGATGCACTGCCCTTTAAGACAGCCTCATCCAACCCACATGTTATATTTTTCCAGCTGTTATACAAGGCTGTCATGTTTTCTAAGAAGGAAATTTTATTGGCGTTCTTGTCTTTTATTGTAGACTTAATTTTCTCCAACAGGTGTATCTCGTTTGGGAGACCTAAAGACATTCTCCTGATTTTATATCAATAGTGCTTGCTGGTTTAAAGTTCTTACTTGACCCATGGGACCATTTACCACAGATTGCATGCAATCCAAGGATGAGTTCGCCTGTTACTCGTCCTGCAGACTACATAGATTTTCATGGTAGTCATTTACAATTCCTGGCATACTTGGCAACTCTCCTAGCTAGCTAGTTGAAATGACCACTAAAAGTAGTTAGTTTCCAGTGTTTGAACAGGTCTTCTGGGTAGGTTCGCTAGGATAAGCTTATTATAAAAAAAAGAATTTTGTTTTGAATGTTGGTATATATACTGTAGGATGATATATATGGATTTTATATATTATTATTTTAATACTGTTTGTTCCATTTGTTGTTTACAGTCAGCTACATGTCAGCTACATATCAGCTGATGTCAGCTAGGCTTGTATATCTTGTACATGTACTTGTAGAAATAAAGATATTATTATTATTATTATTATTATTATTATTATTATTATTATTATTATTATTATTATTATTATTATTATTATTATTGTGTGAGTAGAAGGTTTACAGGTCAGAAAAATAAATATAGCATAGACGTTTTTGTACTGTAACTATTGTAATCCTAAGACTAGAACTGAGGACATTACTTATTGCCCAAAAAGTAGTTAAGGTAAAAACATAATTTACGAATCACTATTTAAAATAATAATAGACGTCCCGCCTGAAATCTGTTATTAAAGAACAAAATTAATTATTAAATTAATTAAATTAAATATATAATTAATTAAATTAAATATATCATTAAGGTAACTGTATAAAAGTATTGACATGTCAGCGTTTTCATGAATTTATGTGGTTATTAAAGCAAAATTAAGAAAGTTATACCTATAATAATAAGATGAAATAGTTACTTTCAGTGCAGTTGAAGTTATGTAAGACAGCGGTCGCCAACCTCCTGGTGTTCTCTGAAGTGTTGGTCAGTATTGACTCCATTCTTGTCAGAATTCCTTTCAGCTCATTAAGCGCTCCTGTGATATTCTCAGCCGGAGGTTTGACATCAGTGATGTTAGAGGTTGGCTGCGGCTGACCACTCGGCTGACTCTGGCCTAGCACTCCCAGCACCAGGGATAACAACAGTAGATTGAAGAGTGTGCACGTCATCACTCCTTCAATGAATTGAAGACCTAATTAACATTTATATAGTCATTGTATGTCATTACTATTAAACTAACAGAGTTCATTGACAAGAAATAGCAGAAAAGATCAAAATCTTTCTTTAGTATGTTTGGATATTTCAATTACTATGGTATACATGATCTTATAAATACACTATATTCTATAATGGTAAGTTTTATCATGTACGATAAAAGACAATTCCCATTCAGTATCATGTACACAAATATATACTTATGAGAGCTCATCCTTTCACGATTTACTTAGAAAAAGATATTTAATAAAAATCCGTCATAATCCATCATACCAGGTAAAGTTTGTCAGGACACAGAATAAGTGTTTCCTGATGTACAGTAGTTTCGCAGTAGCCATCTTAGATTCTAGCTGAAGTGGTAGCGTTAGGGTGTGTTTCCAAAAAATAATAATTATGATTCAGTAATTAAATGATGAGGGTCCATTAAAAAATATGTGTATACATGTATTTTTGTAAAATGTTGTATGCTCAACAGATCCCCCCCCCCCTCCTTCCTCTCTTTTGAAGTCACAAACCACCATACAGTCAACTCAATAATCTTGTAATTTACCAACAATATTGGTATTAATATTATTGTGGAAAATACTGTATATTTTCCGGAAATACGGTAATTTATAGGTAAATAGATGGCCTATATTGTATACAGTAAAAATCATGTTATCGAAAATGGGAAACCCTGCACCGGCGCAGAGGAGTCTCGCCATTGTTGTTTGAATGGAGTAACAGACGTTAGTTAATAATGTGAAGAATTTTCGTGCTCTAGAGGTAAAATTGGGTTGACACCTCTCAAATAGGAGGCGAAATTGTTGGATATGCATTCCTGCATAACTTGGGATGTCAGGCGACTGGACAAGACAGCTCCAGGAGCCTCAGATAAGTCTGTTATGTTTAACTCTGGCCAGTGTTATTTCATGTATAGACAGTGAGGTTTTCTGAGTATGATACACATTAATCTCCAGTCAAATTGGTGAGTGATATTAAGATATTCTCCTTCTGTTATGTATATGTGTATATATATATAATCCTTTATTAATTTAATATACAGTCCACAAATTTATATATTTACCAGAATTCTTGGTGATACATATATCATTTGTAATTAATAGGTCCAGAGCAACTTGTGGATATGACAGTGGTAGGTATCGAAGGGGGACATTTTTTGCGACCTAGGTGTCTGAAATTCCTACTTGTCTAACTGATAAATAATAATTATCTTTGTTCATTTACTGTTATGTACATAATGATACATTCAGATAAATGTAATTTTCCACATTTAATTTGCCTGTTGGTCCTTCTTGAACCGGAGGTAATTAGTGAAGCCATTAATTAGTTAACTACTTAATAATTATATGTGAAATGACAGAAGGAGGTGGATGTTAAGTCAACAAATTTACTTAATGTATAGTGGATTATAATTATTACTATATTAATTTGGATAAGCCAAGTGTTGCTAATTATATTTTTGTGTATAATATTAATTTTGCTATGCCAAATTCTGGCAAGGATTTATATTAATTTGTATAATATTAATTTTGATGAGCCATGCCTGGCTAAAGGTTTGTGTTAATGTACATTTAAAATTTATATAATTTTCTTACATGTGTAATTACTAAGCTCAAGTATAGCTAACAGTATTAATGTACATTTAAAATTTATATAATTTTCTTACGTGTGTAATTACTAAGCTCAAGTGTAGCTAACATTATTAATGTGTATTTAAAATTTATATTACAATTTTCTTACATGTAATTGCAAAGCTCAAGTGTAGCTAGGATTTATTCAAAGGCAAGTTGTATCAGTGTTGTAAGTTGTAATCAGTGTTATTAATTAAGTTGAATTTAATACATTGCATCATGGCTGAAAATGAGGAAATTAATATAGAAGACAAACATATGGAATATAGAGCAAAGAAACCATCACTGCAGGCTAGAAAGGGTCATGTAACCAAGGCATATAATAAATGTTTGGAATTAATGAATCAAGAAACTGTGAATACTGATGGTTTAAAATTGTATTTCGATGCTTTGGGGAATATATATGATTCATACAAATTATATTACAACAAATATGAAGGAGATTTATTAGTAAACTGTGTAGATGAGACTCAAGTAGATCTTATGATTAATCAGTATTATGAATTAGAGGAAAAGATTCTTGTAAAAGTCAGGCCTTGAATAAATTAAAATGTGTAAAACAGGCAGTTAATCAGTCTGCTCCAACAAATAAGATGTCTTTGCCAAAACTCCCAGAATTATGTTTACCTGTATTTAATCCTGGAGAAAATTGGGAGGAGTTTTGGTCAAATTTTAAAGCAGCTGTGCATGACAGGAGTGACCTAGCCTGTGTAACTAAATTATTTTACCTCAAAGGACAGGTAAGAGGAGATGCTCACATACTCATACAAGCCTTTCCCAATGTAGATGATTCTTACAAGGAAGCAGTTGACTTGTTGAAGGTCACTTATAGAACAAAGTAGGTTGGATCTAGTGAATATCATTGTTAATTTAAAATCTCCAGATCATACTTACAAAGGTTTACAGCAGTTTAGAATTAAACTGGAGAGCACTCTTAAAACTTTAAGTAATAAATATAATCTGAAGTAATCAGACTGGTTATTGAGTGCCATGGTACAGAATAAATTAAGCTGTAAAACACTTGAATAGCTCTCGAACAAATATCACAAGGGTTATTTTGGTCTGGAGGAAATAAGACTAGGTCTACAAGAATTAATTGTGCAGTTGCAGACCAGCCAACTAACTCATTTTAAAGATGCAATACATAATAACTTTGAGGTATCTGTCAAGTTTCACAAAGGGAAAAAATATCAAAATGGAAAATTGCATTTATCTGTATGTAACTCATAATGTACATACCAGTAAACAACAAAGACAGCTATTATTTATCAGTTACATAGACAAGTAGGAATTTGGGACATGTAGGTCGCAAAAAATGTCCCCCTTCGATACCTACAACTGTCATATCCACAAGTTGCTCTAGACCTATTAATTACAACTGAAATATGCATCACCAGGAATTCTGGTAAATACATAAATTTGTGGACTGTATATTAAAATTAATAAATGGTTATATATACACACATTTACATACCAGAAGGAGAATATATCTTAATATCACTCGCCAATTTGACTGTAGATTAAGGTGTATCATACTCAGAAAACCTCATTCTAACTAAATTTATGATTAATACTGGCCAGAATTATAACACAAATCTAGATAGCTTATCTGAGGTTCCTGGAGCTGTCTTGTCCAGTCGTCTGATATCTCAAGTTATGCAGGAATGCATATCCAACAATTTTGGCTCATATTTGAGAGGTGTCAGCCCAATTTTACCTCTAGAGCAGGAAAATTCTTCCCATTATTCATTAACGTTTGTGTTGTCCAGTTCAAACATGGCGAGTCTCTTCTGCGCAGGCACAGAATTTCCCATTTTTTATAACATAATTTTTATTAAATACAGTATGGCCATCTATTTACATATAACTACTGTATTTCTGGAAAATATATACAGTATTTTCCACATCTTCATAGAATTTATCAAAATGAAACTCGTCAAGTTCTTCAACCCAAGTTACATCATGACTCACGAAATCGTAATGACACGATTGGAAACAAACCATACCACGGGTGGGTTAGAACCCCGATCAGAGAGTCATAAAACTCCAAACCGAAGCGTTAGCCACTGGGCCAGGTAGCTAGCTAATGCGTCGGCCTGGAGTTTTATGATTCTCTGATAGCGGGTTCTAACCCCACCTGTGGTATGGCATGTTACATTATCTTCACCTCATAAGACTCGATGCTGTTTCATTATAATAACGGTTTATAATAATGACAAGACTTGAACAGTAAAGATTTATCCTGGCTGAGGGACTGACCACATTAAAACTATTTTTTATAATGCTGATGGACTGATCCAAACATCATTACCTTTCCACCGCTTCTGTTGTCTTGATATTTAGTCACCTCTGTATTTGAAGACAGCAAATATTCAAGAGCATATAATTGGAGTCTTCTAGTGGGCCTCTGACAACAATATAATGTTCAATATACCCCAAATTGAGTCTGAATACCTTCCATCCCCCCATAGGCACTGTATAATCCCTACGTGTTTAGCGCTTCCCATGATTAGTAAAAAAAAAAAGAAAAAAAATGTTCAATATAGATAAGTCTCAGTTGTTCTGCTCTGGAAGAATGGAGGAAATAAAAACTGAAATGACGTGCAGGACAAACTCAAATATTTCAATGGAGCGAAGGTTCCATGTACGAGACTTGGGAGGGGTGATTCAAGGATCACAGTAGTGCTGCTCTTTCTACCGGAAGGTAAAGGATAGGCTGCATAAATTGAACTTTTAGGACCACAGGTTTAATCAGGCTGCCCCTCATATCAAGAAGCCCCATTTTTACTAAATTTATGAGGCTTTTATAAGTTATTGAGGAGAGGTGTCATACTACATTGTTATGATATAACTAACGTTTTTCATTTCATATTTATAAAGTTCTTCATTCCTTTCTCATCTGAATGTGTTACACTGAGGGTGAGTGGAAGTTTTACCTACTGATTATTCGATATACGAATGATTCGGCGATCTTAATTAGCAAAGGTTCATGTAGCACGGGACTATAATAAAGCGACGGGGTTATAAGGACATGTAAAATCACAAGTAATGGATCTCTGGGAATACGTACTACTCCGGCTGCTCCATACTAAATCACGTCACCAAAAAAGTAAACTTTTCAAAAGTCCACCTCAGTCACCTATACACCTTTAATCAGATCTCATCTATGTCAAGAAGCACCTATGTCAAATCAAATCAAGTTTATTCTCAATAAAGATTACAATGTGGGGTTTACATATTATAGGATATTGTGTGGTTTACATTATAAAATATTAATTACAAAGAGGGCCAATGACACACCTAGCATGACTAGGCATTTCGGGCA